CCCGGTCGTCAAATCGACCACGCTCTTAGGCTCCTGGGTCCCGAGACCGCGTAGTAATACCCATCCTGCCAGCCCGCAACTTTTTTACCCTCTCCTCGACAGTCAACATGTTCCCTTAAAAAGCAAAAGAAATCAGTCAGTAACGAAGGAGATAACCAAAAAAGGTCAAAAGGGGAGAAAAGTGTCTACCTAGATACTCAAGATCCTCCCACTCAGAGGAACACTCAAGTAGAACCTTCGTGTTTATCAGACGGGGCTCTTCGTGGATGTTCCCCTGACTGTCGAGGATATACCGACCGTCAGAGGTCACCAGATTCACCGGCGACAGTCCCCGCACGAAGTTTACTATTTTCATAAAGGCGGTCGTGTCCTCCTCGTTAAGGGACCTCGGGCGCATGATATATGAATCCGTTCCACGGTTGAAATGTTCCGAGGTCCACGTCACGTGCACCCTCGGCAGCATCACAGCCTCCCGCTGGCCGTTTATTACTCGCTCCCCCTCGGTATACAAGGCATTCATCCCCTTCTGCGTTATCGGGCTCACAATGAAGAACCGGCTTTTGAAGTCCCGAATCAAATCCATATACGTCTGAAATAGTTTGGCCGGTTGCTTGAACGACACCCAGTCGTGCTTACCGCTCGTCGACTGCCGCTGCAGATGGAAAAGGCGAAAAAATAGCGACAACGTAGCACCGACCTCGAGATAACGGCAAACAACTTCGAACGCCCGTATGAACGCCAAGGCATTGGGATGCAACTGCGAGGGTGCCAACCTCATCCAGTCAAAGAGCCCGAGATGGAAATATGAAAACAGCAATCTAAGCCGAGCTTCCTTGAAGTAGAATTTGTACATAGAGAACCTCATCTTCCCAAACACCTGGCAGATTCGGTGGTGCTCACGGGGACGATAAACCCGCCAGTTTTGAGGTTCACCCTCTTTCCTATCCTCCACGATCGCGAAGACTCCGCTCGGATATATGGCAAACAATGACGACGTGGACAGCGGTTCCTCTTCCGCCCACTCCTCGGCTGGGCGAGCAGGGGTAGCAAAATACGGTGTATCCGACTCACTATCTTCGACCATCTCCCCCAGGATAAACTTAGTCAGGAACACCTGAAAAGCAGAAGGTAACGGTGAATTCGATACCCAATATCAAATTCACCCTTCCACCGCAAATCAAGTGAAAGGGCGACGGAGACACTCCCGCGAGCACCGATCCACCGGGCGGCCACCCAACCTCGTCACTACCCTCGCAAAATTCGCCAGAAAAACCCCCCCCCCCCCCCCCCCTCGTCGGGACATTCATCAATAAAAATTGCCTCCCTCCTCGGGAAATTCATCACATCCCCGGGGAATTCATCACAACCCCGGGGAATTCATCCAGTTAGGCATGCCTCCTCGGCGCATTCAAACTAAAACCCTAGAAACATCCACCCTATGCGACGGAGAAGATCTACCCTACACGGCGGCGATTCGGGCCTCTCCTCGGGGCATTCAACATGCTCGACCGCCTCTAGAAAGCAAAACAACAAAAGGGGACAGAGAAAAGGAGAGACTTACTTTACCGGCAGCTAACGGCGGAGTTGCAACGGAATGTACGGTGGCGACAGCAACAAACGAGAAGGTAGCTGATCCTCATGAGAAGAAATGAAAGTGAAAAGTGAAAAAACAGCGAGGACCTTCATACTTATACCCTTGCACAGGACTCGAAGTGCCCCTAGGCACTCGAGTACCCTAGGGTAGTCACCCTCACAGTCAGCAAACGCTTCACACGTGGCGAAGGCTGACAGACGCACCCATTCGTATTCTCCCCGAAGAAAAACCACCGAGCAATCGTCATCGACGCACCCGCGAGCACGTTCCTGCGGCCTCCTTCCTCGTGCCTGCCGTCACCCCGGTAGGATCTTCTCAAAGTCATCGCTCTCGTACCGAGGAGTCTCGACTTGGGGGACTCCTGTTCTAGACTGGGCCCCGACTTAGTCCAGTATTATCTAGCATGGCCCAAACTAATTTGGACCACGACACCGATCAACAAGTGTCTGCCGGACGGAGACGCTCACCAGCCCGGGCACGTCGACCTCACTCTTCCACAAGCCCCTCCGCGGGGACACTTGGACAACCACCTGCCTGCTACGGGCTGAACATGCCTCTGTCGAGTAGGATACATGTCCGCCGGACAGGACAAATGTGTCTCATGCACGTTCTCCACGTGCTCCCCTCCGCGGGGACACGTCACCAACCAATTGCCCATCTCCGAAATAATCGGTCAAACCCACCTTCCGGAGGTCACAGAACAGTTGGACTAGGGAGAAGACCATGTTTCAGTCTTCACTACGCCACGTAAGCCCTAGCAGTCATTTGGATTGGGCTTGGTCATCCAGCCCAACTCAAATGACCGTTGGCCCAGCGCTGCGGTCTCTCTATAAATACCCTCTTTCACAAGAGGGTCAGGTATTCAATTTTTCTACCACTTTTCTGTTTTTGCCATCACTCTGCCCAATTCTTACTTTGCCATCGGAGTGTCTTGCAGGTACACCCCCCACTTTTCCTCAAATACCTTGGTGATCAACGTCCAAATCGTCAACACGTGGCCGACTGTCATCCTCTTTGATCAGGTACGATCAAAAAGTAATCCTTGTTAGACGTACAAACAAGGAAGATCAAAAGCGCAACTAAGAAGCGAGAATGATTGTCATCAAAAGCTTTCAACAATGATGAGAAAGAGTTTAATAATAATCATTGTGACAAGTAGTGTGACAAAATTGAATCATGGTGAAGATAATGCTTTTCAAAATAAAATACATTACATAAAAGTATCAATACAGGAGAACATAGTTTCACAAATTCACATTTGAACAACTATGAACTACACTTGGAGTTACTGAAATATGCATCAAGGAGGAGTGTTGAAATTAATGCACATTTCTAGAACATTCTAGTAAATATAAATGACAAAGTTTAGAGAAAACTAAAATATTCTAAAATTTCTACATGTTTCTAGATTGTTCCTATAATTCTTAAATTAAGTTATAGCCTAGAAAGTTCTATGTCATGTAATATAGAAAAGACAAACAAAAGCCTAGATAGTTTTATTCTAGAAACATCCTCAAGTACCAATAAATAGACAAGCATATGTGTAATTGTATTAAAGCCTTTAAGGTCTAATGTCAATAACATTGAAAGTTTCATCATACTATTATTCTCCTTCTACAATTAGTTTATTACTTATGTGTTTGTATCTTGTTTCGTGTTACTAAACTAGCTCTCACACTACTTGTTACTATCTTTCAACTATCTACCTGAACTTCTTACATTATCCAACTACATTCTAAACTATCATTATTCCCTCAAATACTAACATTAAAGAAGATCACTAATTGCTACTATTAAAGATATAGTTAATTATCAAAAAATTGTCAATGCCTTACTTTTGAAATAAAATGCCTAACGTGTCCTATTTTTTAAATAATCTCCAAAATGATCGGTTTTTTTAACACTCGGCCACTCAACGACTCGGTACATTAAGAAGGTAATTTCTTGAAGACCCTTAGTCATTCATTAGTCTAGCGTTAAGTATGTGATTTTTGACACTGCATTAAAATCCATTAGTCTAACAATTAAGAAATTTTAGAGCATTTATCGACATTAGTAGCCGTTGAAAGACAGATTCAAAGATCAACACTTAGAAGTAAAGTAGAAGATAGAATGTCATGCAATGATGTACGTGTTGAGTACTCAAGAGTAAATTATTATTATCAACGGTTATAAAAGTGTAGTATATAAACAAATTTCATTCATGCAACAATGAGTGGCTGAATGTTTAAAAAAAGGATTATATTGGGATTTTTTTTAAAGTAGGGTATATCAGACATTTTATTTTAAAAGTAGGACATTGTGGGCCATTTCTCTCAATTATCATTAAAACTTTTAATAGTTTTAAATATTGGTGAAGGTGGAACACCTAAAATAGAACAGATGTAAAACAACATAGCAACTTTGAATAAGAAAATATCACCATAGTAATTGTACATATTCATAAACTAGGTTGGATTCATTATTGATCTAGAAAAAGCCCACTCGGTCCCGCAGACACAGCAATCAAATTGTATTATTGATCATAATAGGTCTGTCCCAGCTGAGTTTGTCTAATTCAGACTATAAAAAAATGATCTGAGTACATACCTTAACATTTCCAGCATCCTTGATAGCGTCAACAAGTTTGAGTTGCATCAACAAATTATGTGATGGATAATGATCACCAGACATAGTGCAAATAACAACATCAACTAGTTTCACAGCATCTACCAAACTTTGATGATCAGAAAAAGAACCTTCCACAAGATGAGCACCTTGTTTCTTGAATGAAAGAAGCGTTTGCACTTTCTCAGTATTGATTCCTATATCTGGACGTTGCAGAACATAGGTTTCATGACCTTGTTCTAAACTTGCTTTTACTATTCTCCTACCAATATAACCAGTACCCCCCACAACCAGAACCTTGCTCTTTCCCATTATTGTACTTTCTCTCTTGTGGCTATAGTTTAACTTATCATCAAAACTGCACAAGGCTGGCTAACTTTTTATAGGAGAAAAAGGGACACACACACCGATGGGTAAATGATTTTTACACTCATAATATTTTCTGTTAAATCACATTTTTATTTTTAAAATATTTGTATAATTTAGCACTTTAAAATAATTTAATTGAATGTTGGTATAATATTTTTTTACATTCACATACACAGGTCGGCCTATCGTATTTGGAGGCCTAAGGCAAAATTTAAGTGAAAATATTTTTAAAAATAACAATAATATAATTTATTTTAAAGTATATTATTTATAATTAATATTAGTTTTTGTTGTGTATAGGCAATAATAAAATTTTGATAATTTTTAAAATAAAAATAGAAGCATGGGTGCATATGTTTATTCTTTGGTTGAATTAGAATCATACTCATTATGAAAATGGTCTCATTGTAAAAAAAATATATTCTTTTAATTAAAATTTAAAATTTTTAGTTATTGGAGAATAGATATGAGCTCCACGTAATTAAATTGAGTTTGTTTAAAATTTAGTGTGAATCTCACTTATTGGTTATTGAAGATTTAATTTAAGTTCGAATTTGATCTTTTGAAAGTCAAACATTGTCTACTAACGTGTTTAAAAAATTATTTTTCTTAAAAAACTCTTTAAAATTTTTTGAGTTACTTTTGAAAAAGTTAATAGAAAACAAAATTAAAGGTGCTCAATCTAAAATAAAAGCTTATGAAGTTTTGATTAAGATAAGACAATGAGGTATTATCGGTAGAGAATAACAAATATAAATAGTCTCAAGACCGGACCAACATATTTAAAGGTCTAAAGCAAAATTTAAGTGAAAATTTTTTAAAAATAACAATAATATAACTTATTTTAAAGTATATTATTTATAATTAATATTAGTTTTTGTGGTGTATAGACAATAATAAAGTTTTGATAATTTTTAAAATAAAAATAAAAAAACGTATTAAAATTATACATAATTTTTTTTATAATAATTATAGAAGCATTGGTGCATATGTTTATTCTTTATTGAATTAGAATCATACTCATTATTACTATTAAAAATGTCTAATTATTAAAAAAAATCGTACTTTTTTCATTAGAATTTAAAAATTTTAAGAAAATATCTAACTAAATATTTATTATTTATAAATAATTTTGAATTTTCTTAGAAATTAAATATACAAATTTTAATAAGAGCATATATCTTTTAATATATATGTTAACAATTGGTTATATATTTTAAGCAAAATTCCAAAATATCAAACACATCAACGTCAGCTCAAAGAGAAAACACATTACCACTACACCAATTCATATAATTATAGTATAACACAGTTTTTTTTTTATAAATTATTTAACAAGTGAGGCCTTTTTTTTTATAGCATTCGAGGCCTAAATGAAGGCCCAAAATTATGAGACATAAGGCTCTTACCTTACTCGCCTTGAATTTGGATCGGGTTGGGCCTGCAACAACAGTACACTGTTTTTAAACTCTTATTACGATGCTTTCAAAGTAAAATTGGGAAAGATATATTATCTCTTTTGTTTAAAAGAAAGAATTTTTTTTTTAAAGATTATGAAGGAATTTATTCTGGACTGGGTCCAAGCCTGACCGGGCAGACACAATCCAAGGATATTTGGGGAAGGCCCAAACAAGCCCATATTGTTAATGTCGAGCACAAGTGCTCCCGTCGACCAGACCGCTTCCTCCGTCGGGCAGGACGTTCCCTCCGTCGGACAGAACAACGTGTCCTCCACACGTTCTCCACGTGCCCCCTTCGCGAGGACTCGTCATCAGACAACTACCCACTTCCGAAAGAGCTGGTCAACCCACCTTCCGGAGATCAAGGGACGATTGAACTAGGGCGAAGACCACATACTGGTCTTCACTACGCCACATAAGCCCTAACAGTCATTTGAGTTGGGCCTGGCAATCCAGCCAAACACAAATGACCGTTGACCCTGCGCTGGGGTCTCACTATAAATACCATCTTTCACTAGAGGGTCAGGTATTCTCTTCTTAACCTCGTTTCTGTATTTGCTCCACTCTGGTCCATTACTTACTTTGGAATTGGAGTGTCTTGCAGGTACGCCCCCTCCTCTTCTATACCTCCGGTGAACAGGCAGCAGATCAGCGACGCGCGGCAGGTCATTAATCCCCTACTGATCAGGTCAGATCAATGACGCCGTCTGTGGGAAACTAAGCTTCCCCGTTCCTCCGAGCAGAGAACCAAAGCTTCCTCCTCTCAAATTTCAAGATCATGACTAGCCCACACCATGATGACGTTGTTTACAACTCCACCCTCGTCCCCGTCACCAACGGCGACAATCAGACGGGGACATCTCAACCCCGCGAGACTGACGTCAGGGACGGTCAAACTACCTCCCCTTCGTCCGAAGAGGCGGCCCACCAGGTCATTCCTCGGGCGAGGAGCCCGACGGTTTTTCATCTCGTTCCCACGCCAGCTGGGGAGGACCCGACGATGGTTGCCCTCTTCGCATCCATCAACCAGACGAACCGGATGCTGTTCCAGCAGAACGAGCGCATCAACACGCTGGAACACGACACTTCGTCCCGCTCCCCTCCACGGGGAATTCAACGCGGGAACTCTCGGAGCCCCTCTCCCCAACCACAGCTAGAGAGGCCCTAACTCGTGGCCTCTAAGAAGCGAGCAAGGTCACCATCCCAGAAGGAGAGGCACTCCCCGGAGCCAAGAGCGAGCAGGCCAGAAGCCCCATCCAAAAGGCCGAGGTGCACAATCAACCTTCTCGACACGGGCCGTCACCTCCACAATCCCCGATTCGCAGCGACGAGGACGATTATAGAACTCCTCTGTCGCAGAAGATTATGGCGACCCCCATCCTCCACGTGATGGAGAAACCGCTCGCGCTCTCGACGTACGATGGCACCTCGGATTCAGACGACCACCTGGAAGATATCAAAGCGATGCTCGACTACAGGAATGTTCGGGGGGCCATCAAGTGTAGGCTCTTCCCGTAAACACTGAGGAAAGGCGCCATGGCGTGGTACAAGAGCCTGGAGCCTGAGTCCATCACGTCGTGGAGGGTCCTAAAGGACCTATTTTCACAATATTTCACGGCGTCGAGGCGATATCTGAAGACGGAGGTCGCGCTAGGCGCGATTATCCAGACCCCAGACGAGCCTCTTAGGAACTACATCGAGAGGTTCACAAGGGAAACGGTCCAGGTAGCGACTTCAGACGATATGAAACGCTACCTGATGGAGCAGGGCCTGCGCCGGGGATACAAGTTCTACGATGTTGTGGCTATCCATTGGCCAAGCACTCTCCAGGACTTCCTTGAGAGATTCCACCATTACATCCGGTTCGAGGAGACGGAGGCCGCCAATAATGCCCGTGAAACCCGAAATCGAGAAACCTCATGCGGGTCCCGAGACGAAGGGGTGTCAGCCCCTCGGCGCAGGGGAGACTGACAACGAGATGATCGTCCATGAGAACACCGCGAATAGCAGGGGCCCGTTGGTCGTTTTACCGAATACACGACACTAGTCACTTCCCGCGAGCACATACTAGCTGAGTGCGCCAATTCAAAATTTATCCGGGGAGGTGTCTGTTTTCCGAAACTGGCACCCACGAAAGCCAACATGGACAAATCTAAATACTTCCGCTTCCACCGAAGCCACGGGCATGTAACGGAGGATTTCATCCACCTGAAGATACGGTCACAGATGGCCAACTTCGATGTCCAACGCATCCTGGTCGACGGAGGGAGTTCAGTGGATATCATGTATACCCACCTCTTCGCGACGCTTCAGCTCGACGAATCTAACTTGTCCCCATACCTAGGTTGCGACCTCCAGGGCTTCAACGGGACGAAGACAAGATCACAGGGATACATGGAGCTCAAGATCACTTTTAGGGAGAAGGAAACGGCCAGAGAAATCAACGTCTGTTTTCTGGTCGTCGAGTGCCCATCTTTGTACAATTGCATCCTGGGAAGGACGACGATGGTCGAGCTCACCGCACTACCATCAACCGTCCACCTGAAGATGAAGTGCTACACTAGGCTAGGAGCTGTCGTCACTCTCAACGGGGACATCGAAGCTGCCCGTCGGTGCTTCGAAGCAGCGATGAAAGGCCTCAGTAAAATCGGTCTCGCGGCCAAAGCAACTAATCCCTCCCCCGCCCCGGAGACCAAACAGAAGGATCATGTCGATGCCGTAGACCTTGAATGTCGTTTCTCCGAAGAGTCAGAGCATGATAACAAAGCCAACGACACTCCTCCATCCACCAACAGACAGCTCACCAGACGGAGACTTCGAGATCGTGACCCTCGAGGGAGACGCAACGAAGACCGTAAAGATTGGGGCATGGCTACCTGACCTAGCGAGGAAGCAGTCGAAGGCCTGCCTCCGTGAGAACACCGACCTCTTTGCTGGAGCGCCATAGAGATTCCAGGACTCGACCTTGAGGTCGCCTGCCACCATCTCTCTGTCAACCCAGTCGCTAGAGCCATAGTACAACGTAGGTATAGGCAGTCCCCCAAAAAGTCGGTGGCTGCTAAAAAGCTGTAAAAGACCTTGTAAGTGCTCTTGATTGGATGCATTTTGTGGCAAATCATATTAGTATGTATGCAGGTAATGTCTGAAATTAGAGCATACTAATTATGGAATGTGCAAGGTAAGTTTACTTAGTTATTTTAATAGTTAAGTTGGATGTCACAGCTGGATGTCACAACAAGCATCGTATAACATCAAGCGAAGAGTTTGTTTTTCTGATGGCTGGAAATATGGAGAAGAATCAGATGCTCAAGCTGGGAATCATGAAACATTTTAGAAGCTTTAAGAGTACTAAAATGTCCCTGATTAAATGAGGCAGGCGTGCAGAATAATTGAAGGCTAGGTTTAACATGAAAACCTAAGTTGTGCGCCCAGGCCCAAGGACTTTGCACCTGCTATAAAAGCAGAAGGAGGAATCCTTAAAGT